CAAATTGTAACTTTTGTTTATCTCATGGAAAACTGAGTGTTTTGTCCTCATTAGACTCCCTTGTAAATTATTATTAGAGCATGACATTACAATATAAATTATAAATCTTGTAATTATTCTTTGTTATAACAAAATTTATTTTATAGTAAATTACAGGCGATGTCATACAGGACAAAATTTGTCACCATCCTTTTTAATGGTTAAACCCCCAAAATTATTTAATCTGCATGTATTACTAATTTTTTAATGATAATTATGTGAAAATAAAAATAATTATTAAAGGATAGTGATATCAATAAGCAGAATTCTCCAATAACATTATCCTGTACAATCATTATGTTGACATATTAAACATTTGGAAAAAGAAATGTATGAGACTTCCTTTCCATTGTCAATAACAGCTTCTTTGAAGTGAGAAAACTGTACTAGGAGAGCACAATTCAAGGATACTTTCCAGACATTAGCATCAATTTGAATGAAAAGAGAGCCACATCAATGTATTGTAAACAACCATTCTACTCCAACTTCTCAATATGAAGCCAACAATTGCTTTATTTGGAGAAGTCATATACATAAGAAAAAAAAAGCAAAAATTATTGTGACATCTTCACACAATGCTGGGCTGCAATTTTTAATCACATTCTTAATTTATTCAATTTAAAATATGTTCTTGGTTGCTAAATAGTACTGTCTTGTCCATGTACATATCACTTTTCCTGATAATGCCGGAGTCATGCCAGTCATACATGTAACTCCGCCTGGGGAAAAATTTTTGAACTAAAATCATATGACTTCTGATCTGGAAGTCTGTATATATTTAATTGGGGCCTCCTAACCTTCTTGACTTTCATCTATCTAATACCATTCTTGGAAGGAGAGACATCAGTAGGAATTTATTGGTCTACAAAGTTTTCAAATTGCAGTTGAAAAAAATTGATAAAAACAAACTGCTTTCAGAGTCATGCTCCATCACTAGGTTTAACTCTAACAAAATCATTACTGAATGGCACTTTCAAATGTTGAACACCTTTGACATTCAACTTTTTTTTGAACATTCATACATAAGATTGTTTCTCTTAAAAATTCTTTCTTTGGAACATTTGCATATCAAACAGTTTTCAAAACAGCTTAAAAATGGAACAACACATTTAAATTTAAACTCTGCATATTTTTTAAAAATTTCACACAATTATCTCCACAGACAATGTCCGATGCTGTTCACCTTCCATTCCTCTTTACCCTACATCTGATAGTGCAATAGGATAGTAAAGAAACTAGTTGCTGTTAATGCTGTGATTTTACTAAGAAAATTGCAAATAAAGTAATATTCAATGACACAGGTTTGGGAGTCAATTGCTTAGTTCTTATTTAATGTAAAGAACTTACAAAGGTCATTCTAAAAGTAAAGAATGTTTATTTCTCTAGATATTTTAATTTAAGATAATGAAACAAAACTTATTTTACAATACATATGATACCTTAGCCCTACATAGTCGCCATACAAATTTAAACATTTGTCATAGTGTATCACCATCTTTTCTATGCCTTCTGCAACTCAGTTACTGCTAAGTTCTTGAACCAGTCATTAATTTAACAGCCTCTTTCAGTTTGTTGTCACTTTCATAGTGATCCCAGCCAAAAAAATCCTTCAATTTTGGGAAAAGATGGTAATCACTCTGAGTCAAGTCCAGGTTATAAGGAGAATGTTCAAAAACTTCCCACTTAAACTGCTGAAGCAAGTTCTTTGTCAACACAGCAGCATGTGGACATGCATTATCCTGAAGAAGCAGAATTCCTCTGGACAAGAATCCCTACCATTTGTTTTGAATGGCATGGCATAGTCAGTGAAAGGTCTGACAATAGGCCACTGCATTTATGGTTTCCCTTCTGGGCATGTAGTCGACAAGTAGGATGCCCTTTTGATCCCAAAACACTGTAGCCATAACCTTTTTTGTGCTCAGAATTTGTCTGGCTTTTTTTGGTCTTGTTGGGATCCAGAATTGTCCAGAAACAAAGTGCCATTCCATTGACTGGCACTTTGTTTCTGGAGTTTAATGCAAAATCTGGGTCTCATCACCAGTAACAATGTGTTTCAAAAACTCCTTGCCATCCTTGTTGTACCGACTGAGAAAAGTCAGTGCAGCTCCCATCCAGTTTTGTTTGTGTTCATCTGTCAAAAGTCAAGGAACCCACCTGGCGCACACTTTTCTGTAGCCCAAATCACCACTAACAATGCCATAAAGAACTGTTTTTGAAATTTCAGGAAAAAGCAAACTGAGTCCATCTATAGTGAAATGTCTATCCTGTTGAATTTTTTCCTCAATCCATGATTTGAGTTTGTCAGTCACAACTGAAGGTCCCTGAGTGGTCTTCATCATAGATATTCATTCGCCCGCCATTAAACATGATGCACCATTTTTGAACTGAAGCTTCATTCATCACATTACCATAAACCTTGGTTATCTGTCTATAAATTTCGATAGAGTGGACTTTTTTCGCATTCAAAAAGCTCATTACACTACAAACCTCACACTTGGCGGAATCTTTAATTTTGTCACACATTTCAAAGTTACACTATAAACAGAAAACGATTGTTGTGGCTTGCTGTTAGCGTCAGACTGATGCGAAAAAATGGGAAGGTCCATAACACAGTGGTGAGAGGCTCTTGATCTGCACGGCTCGTCAGATCAAGACGATCTTTTCTTTTAGAATGACCCTCATATAACTAAAGGTGCATATTTCTGGTGGTTTTAAAGAAAATTGTGATGTTAAATGAATTTTTCTGCAGCATGCAAAAGATTTTTCAGTTTTAATAACACTGACCATACACTAAAGATACTCATTCTAAGCTGAGGAACATTTTTGAACCATGAAAAAATTAAAAATAGGTCAGCATGCAATTGGATAAATATAGTAATGTTAAATTTTGATATATTAATGAATTACAATTATAGTAACTGTAAATATTTTCATTTAATGTATATGAGGGGCAGTCAAAAAGTTTCCAGAATTTACCTATAATTAGAAAATGCGATATAAGATAAGGTTATGCATTGCTATGGTGAGAAGCTCAGCATGTCTATTCGCAGTGTGATAATAGTGTTTTTTCCCTGTAGTGTCTTTGTCAGGCATGACTGCTTATCATTTAGTGCAATGACTCAGCGTGCAAACACCAAGCTCATGTACAAATTGGAGAAAACTGCTGCAGATATGCTGTCTGCCCTGCAGCAAGTTTACGGCGATAAGGCACCAAAGAAATCTGCAGTTTACAACTTGTTTCGCCAGTTTAAAAACAGACAGGAGATGTTAGAGGATGACAAACGCAGTGGGAGATATTGAACATCCAGAAATGAAGAAAACATTGAAGAAGTTTCGAGAATTGATTAAAAATTATCAAAGAATAACCATTGTTGAGTTGGAGCAAGAAGTTGGTATTTCTCACAAATCCATTCATGCAATTCTTTCTGAGGATCTGAAGATGAGACAATGTTATTTGCTTGGCAGCAATTTCTCACTGACAAAATCATTTCTGTCATCACCCAGTCACCTTACTCTCCAGATCTTGCTCCCAGTGACTTTTGGCAGTTCCCTACTCTGAAAGGAAGCATTCCACACCTGCTTTCAACAGTGGCAGGATTGATGGAACAAGTGTGTCTGTGCAGAAGGGGCTTAGGTCTGCATTGCCATATCTCATGTCACTACAGTGCAGGATCACAATTCCGGGAACTTTCTGACTTCCCCCTTATAAGGTGGCCAAGATTAGATATTTCTTATTCAAATCTTTTTGGATTTTATCAACTAACTAGTACTTACCAAATATGAAAGATATACTATTCACAGCATAAAAAGAAACTTTAATTTCAAAATAATCCACTAATAAGAAAAGAAACATGGTACTACACATATAACTGATAAGCAATCTTTTCTGGGATATGGGCTATAAAGAACTGTGTAGACTTCCAATGGGCTGCACGCATTTTTTTCTTAAGAGCTGAAGTAAGAAAAAAATGTATGTACTCTAAAGTATTAACCAGTAAGGTATGTAAGGTATTAAATTAAGTATTAACCAGTAAAAAATGTACTGGTATTCATTAAGCAAATTCAACCATAATTTTTACATAGATGGAGAGCATGTAGCATGAGGATATAATGGAAGCACAGCTAAGTAAGTCAATTTAATGAAAACCACACACAGTAAATTGCTGCTATCATATGATCACAGGTTAAGGTTAATTAACAATCAGATATAAAGCCTTATGGGTACAGGTAGGTGGTTAAGTTGCCATCTTGTGATAAATTTAATATAGTAGAGCTTTGATTATCCGACCCTCGATTAACCATCACATTGGTTAACCAACCATTCTAGTCAGCAAATTTCAAATGTCCGCTAGTGATGCGGGGCTACAATATTTGGCTATGTCTTGGCTACTTTTCCTTGTTATGTATACAGAACAACCAAAAAAGTAAAATGGGACATTATAAATATTCTAGTTTTAAATCATCAGGATTGTATTAAGAGATTAAAAGTAATTGTAAAAATGTCATGTCATGTGATAGCTGATTGACCAATAACATGTTAAAATTTAAAAAATGAGCTATTATTTTTTAAATTCTCAATATTTTTAAATAAAACCTTCAAAAGGACCACAAAAAAGATGGTCAGCTGTCAAAAGAGCTATTAAGCATATGCATTCTCCTAGATTCTTTGGTAGCTTGGTGTATTCTCTCTCTTTGTAAATCTATTCATAAAAACAACAAAATGCCTATTGTGTAAGTCCAAAACAATCCAACAAATTTATTCAAAATTTAAAACATACATAGTACTCATCATGGACACTAAATATTTTAAATTTCATCCAAATCAGTTCACTGGTGTTGGAGAGATTAACAGTCAAAGTTGGTGCTTTAACATTACACATGTGACTGAGCACACACTACGATAATGTTCTTTATAATATAAAATTATAAGTTAGTTAACACTTTAATTAAGTTATACTTACAGAAAACTATATTTTAAGAGTTCTTCAGGAATAACAAATGGCTTTCTCTTAGGAGTTTTAGAAGTGTATTGACAGGTTGTCCAACCACTTAAATGTCCTCCACATGCATAGCCAGAATTACTGTATATATATATAAATTTAATTGTTAATTAATTTTAAAAAATTTTTTCTTGATAAATATATAAAAATAATGTAAAAAGATTTTCACTAAAATAATGAACAAAAAATAAAATTGAATTTGTTAATACAAACATATCTATCAATATCAAACAAACAGCAATAATGTTGAAATTATCAGATCATAATGTAATTTGATCAATTATAATTCTTTTTGGCTAATAAATTATAATTATTCCAAATATATTGTATATTGTATATCAGTCATTTTAGTACTATCTTTATTAGTGTTGTAACGAATAGTATATTCGGCCTCAGGCCGAATACCGAATATTCGGCCAGGAGCGTGGCCGAATAGCTGAATATTCGGCTCGATTATCGCACGTACGGAAATTGGCGCGCAAATCGCATTATGGCAAGGACCCCGCTCTCTGTTGGCCCACTGTCACTACGCTTCGCCAATCACGTTAATTCTTGACAGTTCAAGCGGACAGATATGAGTGTCATGGCAGTATGTGATAAGTAATGATATCAAATGTGGATAACAATGAAATGTCCTACACGTGTAAATAACGGAGAAAGAACAGAGAAGGACCGCGAAGTGAAAATGTAAAAATAAATATGAAATTGAGTCGATAACATAATCGAACGAGTCGAAATAGCTTATTGGCACGAGATTCGCGGCCGTCAATGCCAAACAATTGTTGTCATAGACTTCGGAAAGCTAAATGCTTGTATTGAAAGTCACTTAGCATGCACAAGCGAAAGCCCGGGGCCGTTCGGGCTATCAAGCTGTCTCGAATCTGTGAAATCATAACTGTGACTTATATCGACGTCCTATCTGTCTCTTTTCTCCGTTATCACCAGGCTGAGTCACGTAATTGTAAAATGGGAACTCTACGACTAAAAAGTGACGAATCGAAAGTATCGTGAGCGAATATTATGATGTATGCATAGGCATACATGGATTAGAGCAATAGAGGAAAGAGAAAGGGAAGAGCAAAGACGAGCGCTTAAAAAGAAGGATAGGCAGGGTCAGACCCTCAGATGTGCGAGGATTCTCCAACGATAGACGTATACGTGTGCTGATCTTTGTAATTATAAATTGTGAATACATATGACTAATATTATTTTCTTTTTTATTTTGTGCATGTTACAAGTTATAAATAAATAGAAACAAACAACACTAACTCTATAACATTAACTCTAAATACCAAAATGATTAATTTACTGTGTTTTTGTTATTTATTACTCCTGTTTTTAGGTATTCAGTCGAATAGTGATTAAATATTCGGTATTCGGCCGAATAGTGAAAAATAGGCCGAATACCGAATAGTAACCGAATATTCGTTACATCACTAATCTTTATCTTTGATATCATTCTAACTGGATAAATTAATTAAATGTTACTAATTACTTTGTCCATTCCCTTTGAGGATCTGTAGTCAAAATAAACTATTTAATAGTTGTTAAAACAATTTACTGATACAAATGTCAACATCTAAAACTTCAGTAGTTAAATATTAAAGACAAATGATTGCCAAATCATATCAGGCTGTATTACTACAACTATTAATAATTAAATGCAAAGTGACTTAGCTCTAGAAGTAGATGTTAGACACCATCTCTTGCTAAATCTATATATATATAGATTTAGCAAGAGATGGTGTCTAACATCTACTTCTAGAGCTAAGTCACTTTGCATTTAATTATTAATAGTTGTAGTAATACAGCCTGATATGATTTGGCAATCATTTGTCTTTAATATTTAACTACTGAAGTTTTAGATGTTGACATTTGTATCAGTAAATTGTTTTAACAACTATTAAATAGTTTATNAAAATTATTGTCTATCTCAAAATAATTATTGGTATAAGCAAATTTAATAAGGTCTATTAATTTTTTTTATATACCTTTAACTTTGTTAAACTTGTTTCTGTTAAATTCGATTATATATTTGGATACATGTTCTTGACATCTAAATTTATTAGCAGATCAGTTTTTCCTTTTATTATTGTTTGAATCTTATTTATAGGTTCATCTGCATTCTTCATGCTATTTTCAGAACCTTCTATGGTTTTCAATTGTCTTTTGATATAGTTTTCTAAGTTATAAAGTATTGAATAACGAAAATCCACTATGGGTCTGTATTTTTCTTCTTGTTTATGTGTCTTCAACCTGATTTTTAATTTTGGGGTCCTATTGTTTTTAAAATTAAGGATATAACTTTTATTAATATTATTTATGTTATTATTGAAATTACCTGAGTCATATTTAGTTTAAGTATTTTGTATATGAAATAACTGGATAATTAGTTTTCTAGTGGTAATGGAGCTATTGTCCAATCGCTTCGTATTGCATTCTATGTAAATTGTAAAGTAAATCTACAGACGTTCGATTGTTTAGATTTTTTGCAAATAAGCGGAAAAAAGCAAAATGTAGCGTAGACATCAACAGATGGTTCATGATGCAGTTCAAAGAATTTATGTGTAAAGTTTGTAATGAGTTGTTTAAACGAGTGGATATACGTGACTTCGTGTTTATGAACAAACTATACATGGAAATTTATAAATGATATTTGCAATCCAGGTATAAAACAAATGTAATTTTTTAATGTTTCTGTCTGATGATAAAATAATTAAACATATAACTGTTTTAATATGACCATATTGTATTTAATAATAAAATTATGATGATGGTATTGACTTATACTCTCAATATTTATTAATAAAACATTGCAAAAATTTAGTTTAATTGTAATTTATACTTAATTCAATTTAACTAAAATTTACATTAATTTTATTGTTAGAATTTTTATTTTAGAAGTGATGGAAATCTAAATATATCTAATTCTTATAATCTAGAGATTCTATAATATTTATTGATTTTATTTTTATTTAATTTTTTCATTTGTATAGCAATAATTATTTGCCACTGATTATTTATATCTTTTATCCTGAACTTTTAAAAACAGATTTTATTTGAATAACATAAATTGTTTTTTCTGGAGAAAAAAATGTAAGGATCAGATGCGTTTAAAATGCTTGTGTGTTTGTACAGCCATTTTCAGAATACTAGTAAAAATAATTTAGCTGAATTGTGCATTTTATACATTTTTCTGGTATGGATTTAGTGTTATGATGTAATATTTTTTTCACATTTAAATATATCAAATATAATTCAAAATGCTTAATATTTTTACAGTAGTTTTTGGTAGTAAACTTGAAATTTTATTATTAATGCAGAATATGTAAACAAAAAAATTACACACACACAACATTAAATTGATATTTTTTGTTTTATTTAAAGTAAAATTGACTATTTAATTGTAAAAAAGAAAAGTTTAGCATTAATTTGCTATGGCAACAAATATTCATATTTTGTTTGAATATATTGTATTCTATTCAAGTATTATATGTCAGTTTATTGTCAAATAATTTAATTTAAAATATCATTTTTGGAATTTTTTGAAAGCTATTTATAGATTAAAAATATATATACACATGTATTACTTATTATAAAACTAGCTTATCCGTCGCGCATTGCTGCAATCTCAGAAGAAACGAAATTTAAGCAAACTCGTTATAAAAAATTCAATTTATGTTTTATCATTTTTATTGAAATTTATTATTATTATAATAATAATATTAATATTATTATATGAATGATAATAATGAATAAAATAATAAAATAATAAAAAATGAATAATCTATATATATATATAAAAATGGACATGTATGTCCCTATATCTCACGTTTTCGCCAAAACTACACATCGCACGTGAATGGTGTTTGTATGTGGTGGTAGCCCCAAGTCTCCATTCGTGCANGAAATATGCTTCTCACTCTCTGTCCATGCTGGAAAATAATGGCACAATAATCAGCAATATACAGGGTATTGCTGATACGTTGGGTGAAACGTTTTCTACTTCATCTAGCAATATTATGTATTCAAGAAATTTTCAGGCTTATAAAGCCCAAAGAGAAAAACAGTGTTTAAACTTTCATTCCTTATCTAATGAGGAATATAATGTGCCATTCACTAGAATTGAATTACAAACAGCGCTCTCTCGCTCGGGGAATAGTGCTGTAGGCCCAGATAAAATCCACTACAGCATGATTAAAAATCTGTCAAACAATTCCCTTTTTAATCTCTTGCACCTGTTTAACAGAATATGGACAGAAAATAATTTTCCTGACTCTTGGAGACTATCAATTATTATCCCTATTCCAAAACCTGGTAAAGACCGCAAGAATCCCTCTGATTACAGACCAATCTCTCTGACAAGTTGCATGTGTAAACTTTTTGAGAGGATGGTAAACAGACGTCTGATGTATCTCTTAGAGGAAAAAAACTACTTTTCACCACATCAGAGTGGATTTCNATAAATTATTTATAAATACGTATGTCAAGTTATATTTTTATTACTACGTAAAATATATTTAAGAGTTTACGACCACTGTGATGGCTGAGACGTTGTTGAAACAAAAAAAGTTATGCATTCCATCATGAACATAAACAGTGTCGTAATTCGCCAAGTGCAAATCAGAAAAGTCGTAAAATTTTTGTTTATTTTGAACAATCCGGATAATCGAAAATCCGGATAATGGAGGTCCGGATAATGGAGGTTCTACTGTATCTAAATTAGTAGATTGGACAAAGGTCTGAGTAGTGTTACTATCAACATGACCACACAGTTTGAGGGAGTTGCAGATCTGAGTGTACTGCAAGTTTAATGACATTTCCCACGTCATTAAACTAGCAACATCTTTTCAACCTTCTTATTACATCAACTTTGTCATTTCTACTCTCATTAGAAGAGCCTTTTTACTTCAGTTAACAAGTGAGCTTGTTGAATTTGAGTTATGTAATGTTTACATGGCTATGCACAAGACAGAATATTCATCTGCTAAATTTCACTACATTCTCACCAGGATTAAGAATTTGCTATTCCCACCCACTACTTTATATTCTAAAAAACAGTTGACTTGGATGCAGTCATT